GAATGCAGAGTCATTCTTAGAGACCTGCAGATTCACACTCAGGCTTACTTAGGGGGACTTATCTCTTCCACCCTGCCCTGTAGGAAAGCCTTTGGCCCCGTATTTACACATTCCTTTCACAGTTTTCATCCTTCAAACCGTGTCCCCCACGGCTGATGTTTTGGGATAAGCTTCTTGTGTCCTCCTGAGAAGAATCACTCGTCACCGTCTTAGTTTATCAGCTGCAGATGGGGGTGAAGATCATCCAAGAAGTTCTGCCCTAGGGGAACATTTTACCCGCATTGGATAAGACACCTGTCTTTTTCCTCTCTTTCTCTGTTCATACTGGATCACGTGCCAGGTGAGGCTGGGGTAGACAGAGCATTTGGGGAACCCAGAGAAGGGAAAGGGAGTTGTGCATACATCTCGTTTAGACGTGTGTGTCTGCCGTCTCTTTCATGCAATGTTAGATTTTGCTGCTCCCCTGCCGTGTAAAGCTTTGACTTCCAGAAATAGTCCTGCTGCTTTTGGTCCCAATTCAGCTGACATTGTGACATAAAGGTGCAAGACCACAGGTCCTGTTGGGAGACAGAAATATCCTCAGTGCTGAGCCCTGGAATGAGATGCATCCAGGAGAAACAAGCTTTCACGTGGACAGACACAGGAGCCGTTTTGTTGGCTTCACTCCAAGTATGAGATGGTCAATCTGGTAAGAAAGCATTCCATTCTCATCACTGGAAGAATGGAAGTTATCACAGGAGTACGGGACGTCACCTAGTGTATTAAATATACAGTACATCCTATGATATATTGAGCTATCAACACATAATCCTTATTTTTCTTTGTTTTTAAAAAACCAGAATTGGGTGCAGTCCCACGTTCGCATTACCAAACGGGAAGAGTTCGGGCACCCGCTTCGAGCGGAGACCAACGCCAAGCAGAACAGCAGTCTCTTTATTCCTCGCTTTACCCAAGGAGAATGGGCAGACGACGGCTCAGAAGCCCAAACTCCCCGATCCAGGGTCCAGGTGGGTTTTTAAGGGGCTGGGAAGCAGGTGGGTGGGACAGCTAGCAGGGCACGTGTCGGCCGGAGGCGCTGGGAGCTTGGGCATTATGGGAGGGGGCGTCAGCACCATGTCTCCATGGACAGCGCCCCCTTGGCTTCTGAGGGATTCTTGTGGTCAAGTTCAGGTCTCGTCCTCTGTCCTTTGGTCCTGTGGGGGGAGGGGCGCGGCTTTGGTTGCAGGTGCAGCTGGAGGCTGCCCTGCTCTGCTGGGCACGCGCTTTCGCCGCGTGGCCGGCTGTCCCCAGAAGGAAACGCAGTATCTCGTGGAGGAGGACAGGGCCATCCTGAGCTGCTCCCGCACATACCGTGAGCAGTGGGACCGCAGAGGGTGGGCAGGTCTGCATAGGGGTCGTCGATGCAAAAAGCTCCACAGCGCTTTCCACGTTTGCTCTGACCTTACTAAGCCACGCGACGAGGTCTCCAGGATGTCAGCCACGGGCTGCACGTCAGAAGGACTTTTTCAAACTGGGAGGAATTTGGAAATTCTGCCAAACCTCCCCTCCCCCGCGCTGTGAGCAGCACAGGCTTCTCAGCACATGCTTTTCTTGCTGGTTTCCTCTGTGGGGCCCCCCGTGCTTCTCTCTCTCTAGGAACTAGGAGGTCGAGCTCCTTTGACACCTCCGCAGGGAGCTAGCAAGGTGACACCGTGCAGCTTTACCTGAGCCCTGCGCTCTCGAAGTTAGCAAAGGTTAACGCAAACCCCCACCCGAGAAACGGCTAATTGCAAAGGACCGGCCGTCTCTTGAACGGTTGAGTGAAGACCCACCTCCCTCCCTTAGCGCTGGCCGGGACGAGGATGATGTCCTGTCTCGTCGCCTCCGGCAAACCCCAGGCCCCCATGAGCGCACATCCCCGGCTGCAGCAGGCTGAGTACCCATCGCCTCGTTAACTTCCCAGCACATGTTCGCGTCTTTCACAAAGGCAGCCACGCTTTCTCACGCCGGCCACAGACGGACAAGGGCCACAGAAGCCCAACGATGCGTCTCCGCTTACGACTCGCCCCCCGAGACTGCAGCCGGGTGCCGTCCGCAAGCGCGGACCCTGTGACTTTGTCCCCAGTGCCGTGACCCAGCCCATCCCCCGGCGCTGAGCCCTCAGGCAGACGGGGCACCGTGTTTGCCTGTCATGCCCATGACGAGCGTAGACTCCAGCCACCAGTAAAGGCAGGGTCTTGCCTGCTCAGCAGAGGTGCTTTCATCCCCACTAAGGAGCTGTCGTCAGTAAAAGGGCCCAGAACACTCCCCGGTGGCATGGAAAATATTTCGAGCCGAAAACATTTCAAAATAAGCTGGGTTTTTCTTTCTTGAATTCTCTTATCTGCCTTGAAAGCAGACCCTCCAACAAGGATTTGGAAAAATGCCACTGCCCTAAATTCCCTCCCAGGAATAACCAAGGGAGATGGACCGTTACCTCTCAATGCTAGAAGCTGGTGCCACATCCCAAAAGACAGTCACCGATCTCTTGTATCGTCCTTCTGTTCTCCTAAGGACGATGTAGCTTCCCTAAGAACCATTTATTTTCTCAGGGTGGCCTACCTCCAGGCCCCCCTCCCCCGTTAAGATGACACTGAAGCCCCAAATTCTAATGCATCCCATTATTTGAGCACCCTCCTTTAGATAAAAACCTGTTTTTCTCTTACTAATCTCTCACTTGTCAGTTTAATTCACAGGCCCCCATAACGGACCCTAAGAGGGTGTAGGAAAAAGTTTTCCTCCTTGATAGAAGACAGGGCAGATAACGGCTGCTTCTACGTCCAAGTCAAACCACGGCAATGAGGCTTATTATGGTGATTTCAAACAAACAAATGCCAAATGCATTTTTAAAAGAATAATGATGGTTACCAAAACTTATGCATTCTACATTTACCTGTAAAGGCAAAATGAGATTCTGTTACGTAGATAAAATCTTCTAGAAATCACGATCTTTTCTTTCTATTAAATTTTTCTATTAAATTTTAACATCTTTATGGAGATATAGTTCACACGCCATAAAGCTTACTTATTTAGAGCGTACGATTCAATGTATTCCTATTAGTTTTTTTTATTATTATTATTGTAGTGTAGTAAAACACAGAATGTGAAATTTAGCATCTACATCATCTCGAACGGTACAGTTCAGTCGTGGAAAACATATTCGCTGCTGCGCAACAGATCTTTCCGAAACTCTGAATTTCTGTATTTTTAACACTGTTTTTTTTAGAGCAGTTTCAGGTTTACAGTAAGAATGAAGGGGGCACAGAGGATTCCCCCGTAGCCCCTGCCCGCACGCACGCTCAGCTTCCCCCAGTTATTGGCATTCCCCACCGGACGGCACGTTTGTTACGACGGCCGAACCGAGTCCGCGGGCCCTGTCTTGGTGTTGCACACTGTATCGTTCTGAACAAACGTGTGGTGACACGTCTCCATGATTACAGTATCAAACAGAGTCGGTTCAGTGCCCTAAAAGTCCTGTGCTCCACCTAGCACCCCCCATCCTCCGTGCCTGGCAAACAGGGGTCTTTCCTCTGTCTCCATAGTCTTGCCTTTTCCAGAATGTCCTAGAGCTAGGACCACACAGTGTGAAGGATTTGCAGGCAGGCTTCTCCGTGTCTTTTCATGGCTTGAGAGTTCACTCGTCTTTTGCTCATTGTCTGGAGGGACCACTGTCTATTTACCCATCCCCCACCGAAGGGCATCTCCGCTGCTTCCAGATGTGTCGATTACTAACGAAGCCGCTCTAAACATCCACGTGCTGGTGGTCGTGTGGACGTAAGTCTTCGCCTCCATTTGGTAGACACCGAGGTGTTCTGTGCTGGGTCTTACGATGAGAATATATTTAGTTTTGGAAGAAACCGCCCAGCTGTCGTCCAAAGCGCCCACACCATTTTGCCTTCCCGGCGGCCGCAAATGAGCATTCCTGTCGCTTCTCTGGAACTTTTCCATCTCGCAAAACCGAAAACCTGCAGCCACTGAAACCCGTCTCTCCAGTTCCCTCCCCCCATCCCCAGCTTTGGGTAACCAGCCTTCTCCTCCCAATTTTTATGAGTCAGGCTGGTGTCGATAGCTCACGTGAATGGAATTAGTACAGCGTTCGTCCTTCTGTGACTGGCGTATTCAGTAAGCATCGTGCCCGCACGGCTCAGCCACGTCGTGGCGGGTGACAGTACTTTCTTCCTCTTTTAAGGATGCACAAAATCTGCTTTATGAATGCAGCTCATTCGGCTTGTCCGCTCCTGCATCGATGCGGAGGTGGGCTGCTTCCACCTCGTGGCTCTGGTGAAGGAGGCCGCCCTGCGCACGGGCACGCAGATAACCTTTTCGACGTAGTGTTTTGAGTTCTCTTGGACACGTACCCACGAGTGCAATTGCTGAATAGCTTCTTTAAGGAAAATGGGCAACGTGTCGTTAAAAGCGGCTTCAGGAAATGAAATTGCCGACATGGAGATGCACCTGGGTCTCGAGATAAGACAGCGATTCTGAAGAACAGGGCTTCCCCCGTGTTATTCACCCAGAGCTTTGCAAGTACCCGGGACAGTCATTCGCGTCGATGCAGCCACCAGAAGCCGTGCAGGTTCTGCTTCTACTACGCCTTCGGTGACTTCCTTTCCCAATGGTTTTCATTTGAATAGTCTTTCCACCAAATCGAGTTTTTCTTTGGTTTGTTTGTAATCTTTTTATGGTACCTGAACCATTTGTGACAGGACTTAGGACTCCGAAGACACACAGCGTCTGGCTGCTCCTAGCTCAGCAAGACACACAGCGTCTGGCTGCTCCTAGCTCAGCACTTGTCCCCTTTTGGCTGTATCCTCGGCCAGGGCCCGCACCCCACGACGAGATGGAGCAGTTTCCACCTCTCTCTGTATAGCAACGAAAGTACACTATTTGCTCTCGCCGCTGGGACACCACTCCGAAACCCATGGGCCTTCCCGAGCGATAAGAGTATCTTCTGTTATTTATACTGAGCCCCGTTTGACTACCCCCGAGTTTTTGCCATTGAGCTGACTCGAGGTGGGGCTCCTAGCCGGCTTTGGGATGGAAGCTCATCACCGGAAAGGCCACTTCGTTAGAGGGTTGGCACTTTTCGCCCCGACCACTGACCTCTGCGGAAGGATGAGAGGGTGGAGTTTGGGTCGTATCAAAAGATCTAGAGCAATGAGATTTGGGGGGGCTTCCAGGTTGGTGAACTCCTAATGGGCAAAGAGAGTAGCACACTCAGAGGGTTTGGGAGCCCCACGCCGACCCGCAGTCCCCGGCCGTGCCCTGCGCAACTCTGCCATTTGTTTGTTCCCAACTGGTCCACTTTCTATGAAACCAGTAGCAGACGGAAGACTGTTTCCCTCAGCTCTGTCGGCTGGTCTAGCAAATTACTGCTCCTGGGAGGGAGACGGGCGGGAATTCCTACATTGTGGCAGGCCGGGCAGAAGCGAGCGTCTCCCGTGGGACCCGTGTGGGCTGCCATCTGTGGTGAGGGCAGTCTTGCGTGGTCTGCACTAACTCTGGGACCCAGCGTCCAAATCGTCTGGAATTGTTGGGCAGCAGACGCTGGGGGAAGAAGCGAGAATTGGAGTGGGGAAGCGATGTGAATTTGGTGTTCGCCACACAAGCGATGTGAATTTGGTGTTCGAGACACCACACAATCACAAACCCAGCTACATTGCAATCCTGTAAATTCCGTTCGGTCATAATTTTGGAACAAAAAACAGCAAAGGCTGCACACGGAACAGAAGGTCGGTTAATTCTTTGCAACACATGGGCCAACTGCTTATCCTTGAGACAGTAAGAATGACGATTTTTCTAGTTAAAGAGGTGACTCTAACGTTCCTGGACAATATATCACCTGAATGCCTCGAAACTACGAAATCAAGAGAATCCATCTTTTCCAGTCAGACGGTCTGGGAGTGCGAATCAGTAGAATGTTAACGACAGTATCACATTGAAAAAAAAAAGTGTTTAAATAGGAAGGAAAGATTTTGAGATAACCACACAGATGATCATAGTTGTTGTGTGTTCTTTGTGTCTATATGACTTAACGCATTATTGTAAGGTTCTCAGCCGATCCTGGTTTTGTCCCCTATGGAGTGATAGCTGAAGACATTTTTAATTGTCACCCAGTGGGTGGAGACCGGGGATGGTGTCACGTGTCCTGCAATGTACAGGGCAGCCCAGGACAAAGAGCCATCCAGCCCCAACGGCCAGACGTGTCCCGGTAGGAGCCAGCCACGGAATTTTCGTAAGCAGGATGCCCTAAGGTCCTTGTTTCTTTCTTTATTTTTTTTTTCAAGATTTCAGTGTATTATTTCTTAAAGGAGGTGGTGGGCGTAAAGCGAAAGTAATCTTTAAAAAAGGAAGGAATGGTTTCACTCCCGTGTTAGGAATTTTTCCATTTGAAACAGCAGTTTCTCCATACTATGTATTAAACAGGGCCATAGAATTTCAGCAAACGGGAATGGGTAAGCCCAATGTAGACGGTCTACCCCCATCTATGGGGGAGAAATAGAGGCCAAAAAGGTAGTATGATTACTTTTCTGGCTTTATTTGTTGAAACCGATGGTTTTCTGTCTGAATAAGTAATAAGAGAATGATTGAGAGAAGCTACGTGATCGGGGGTAGGGCTGGAATGTTCCCTTGGAAGCGGAGTAACGATGACTTATGAGACACCCGTGATGAGAGGAAGCCTTCCCATCACAGGTCATAACAGAATAAAGAAAAAAAATCTCTTTGAAACGAGCGTTCCCGACTCTGACCGCATATTATTCCAACAGTGCAAAACAATGTCAAGTGCGAAAATTTTTCTCTAGGGTTCGCTGGGTGTGGTGTTTAGCTTATGTTTCACACCCGGCCTTAGGAAAGCCAGGGGGGTTGAATTTTTGCGTGTCGTTCATTCTCTCCAGGAGAGTCGTTACTGGCCATGATGCCACATGGTCCACGGCAATGCTGTCCGTTCCAACTAAGCATGAGGTCATAATTTTTTGGACCCAGGTACATGGAAAGACCTGGAAATGGCCCCGTTCAGGAAAAGGGGCAGAGACGAGGGAAACTGCAGAACAAAGGTGATGTGCAACGTTTATTCCAATTAATCCGTCCACGGCGGCAGTTCTCAGATGACACCTTTGGTGGCCAAATCTACCAGCTGAGGCCCGGTTAATCCAGTTGTCTTAGCAACTAAATGACACTGGAATATCGTTAGGCAAAGTGATGATCTCTTCGTAGAATTACGTGGATGGTTCGAAATAGCAGATCCACGGGCCCCGTCGACATTTCGGGGGATTCATGGCCTTTAACTAATTGCATTCTGGTCGAGCAGAATTGAGATTCACACACCTGTGGCGTGGGAGGCCCCTTCCCATACGTGATTATGCGTCCGTCGCCCACGGTGGAGAAAGACCTTGCAGACTGTCGCTTAACTGCTGGTTCCAAAAGGACTTCTTATCCGATAGAAAGGTGGGGATAAAATCTGCATCTGCATTCGGGAGCTGGAATCATGATGCACTTAATGACAGCTTCCCTGGCAAAGTCATCTCCTTTCTATTTATATTTCTCAAATCAAGATCGTAATTATAAAACTATTTATACAGGCTGTTTGATGGCAGGAAGGTAACGAAATGAGAATCCACTTGAATGTGTCTGGCCAGGTAATGCTTTAGCGATGGGCCGTAGGAATGATGTGGATACCGCAGTGGTCAACGTCACAGAGGACAGGGATGGTGTGACACGCGTGACCGTGCCCTCACCTCTGCCCTGTCCAGTAATCTTTCCTCTTTTTCCTGAACCACTCATCAAATCTACATCATGGGCACTTTTCTAAGGGGCTCAAGCAGCCTTGCTGGGGGTCCTCATCAATGCCACCTTGTTGGAATTTCTCACGTGGCTGGTGTTGACTTTCTCGGAGGGCTGGTGTCGTGCTGTGATATTCTCAGTTCGGAAGATGTTTCGATCTCATTTCACCTTTTTCTTGGGGGTAGTTGCAACCGAAGCGTGAAATCTGGGTTTGGGGAATGGAGCCGCGGAATCTACAAATATGTCTGTTGATTCAAAAATATGTGGTTCGTGTTTACGATGTAATTGGCAATGGGCTAGGTGCTGGGTGTAAATTTCCCATATGATCTGCGATTCCTCTCTTGGATTTCTAGATATAAAAAAAAAATGAAGTTGGACCCTTACTGCATTTCATACACAAACGTAACTCGAATGGATCATAAACCTAAATTGAAC